CGCTCAGAGTTAGCGCTGCTGGGTTAACATCAGGGAAGTAATTCGCCCTAACCCAGCAGGGACAGGAAGGTCAGGCTGTGCACCGTAAGTGTGGGGCATGGGGGGCGGAGCACGTCCTATTTTTGCAGAGGAAAGAGGATGGGATGAACAAATCCCTAAATGGGGTGTGAGAGCTGGGAACCCAGATATTCTCTTCCAGGCTCTCACGCCACTGCCCTCCCAGGGGCTCTCTGCACTCCGCATGTGTGCGCCAGGCACAGGGACACGCCGAGCCGTGTGTCATCTTTCTCTGCCATGCTATAGCCCCGTTGGAGAGTGACTAGAACCTCCACTCTACCCATGAGTAAACTAAGGCTTAAAGAGGTTAAGAAACTGACACAAAGTCACACGGTGAACCAAAGGTCAGTCCAGAATGTAAATGCTAGCCCCGGAGTCCAGGCCTACACTGCTACCTGCCAAGTTGCCTTATTTCTGTACCTACCCCCAAACGCCTCTTGACACAGGCTAGGGGCTGCTGCCCTGTGCATGCCGGCAACGTGATGAAGCCAAGAGACCAGGGCGAGCCTGTCCTCTCTAGGACCCAGCGGAGAGGAAAACAGTCCGCCTACCTCCAGAACCAAGTGGCCTCCCTCCCTCCGTCCCTCCCTCCCCCACTTGGTGACCCCTGATTCTGATGCACGAGAAGCACTTCCAAGATATATGAGGTGCCATGGAGGGCAGCTGTCACTCACGGCGCCCCCGACCTGCTGTCTGTCTGCTGGGTGGGAGCATACATGACCTGCATGCCCTTCCGAGGAGCCGCATCTCGATTTTGGGAAGAGGAAGAGAATCTTCTTGCCCTGGTAGGACCTTGCATAACGCCCAAATCACCAGCACAGAGCTCCTCTCCATATTACACAGATCCCACTCACCAGCATCCTCCTTCCATTCCCTTGTCACAAAGGGCAGCTGGCACAAAGAGAACATAAATGCCACCCTGCAAAGAGACAGTGGGCTCTCCCCAACCCCTGGCCTAATGCCTCCCACTAACTCATGCTCTTCCCACACACGAAGGGCTGCACTTCACTCTGTCCCCAGTCTTGATCAGAACTCGGCCTCTATGCTTAGAACTGGAAGGATAATCTTCTTAATTCTTAGCTGAATATGGGCCTCAAAGTGACAGGACACCCCTCAGCTATTCAAAGAAAAACCACCAGAGGAAACAGTTTCAAATCTAGCTTTACAAGCATAGGGTTTAAAAATAACTCTGCCTTTGTCTGCTATAGATGACTTTCCCTAAAGGGACAGCTGTCCTTAAACCAACTACTCAATTCTCAGGGCAAACAGATTCTTATTTTTCCTGGTACCCAGCACACACCTCCAGGAGGGCACCCCCGCATACCACCTCCGATAGCATCTGAAATGCAAACGCAGAATCCCTGATGGCCTGGGGACAGCCACAGCGCTGCACCTCAGACACCCTGAAGCCTCGGCAGGTAGCTGCAGCAGGAAACACCACTCTCACCTCCACAGAGAGAGTAACCTGGAAATCTTGGCAATCATGCCACGTTCACATCAGGTTTCGCTGGGTCCCTGGAGTATTTTTCAGAGACTGTGTTTCTTTGGATACTTGACTTACTCTTTGGTGCAGGAGCTACACAGATGAACTGGGCTAGACAGATACACAAAATAGGAAAGCTGGCCGCGGGAGCATCATGGTAGACAGTTTTGAGCATTCATGAGAATGTTCACCTTGTCATTCCCACACACCCTTGAGGTAGACTTCATAACGCATACTTTGTCAATTTCTGGCTTCATTTCCTTTCAGCCAGACAGTACTAACAACACAATGCCGCTGAGCATAACTCAAAAGACGCATGCTGAGCAGACAGCTGAAAAATCAGTGTTTGGTGAATTGCTCTGCAATTATCTCCTGATTAGATTGGTGACTTAGTTCTATCAACTAAAAGTGCACAAGGACGCTCATTAACATACTATTTCTTTTTGGCAACCTAATGTCTCCGAACCTTTGTAAAAGTTTTGCGTACAGTTTCATAGGAAGTAAAAAGCACCCACTGGTATGATAGGACCCTGAATTAAATCCTGATTTTCCTGTTCAGTTGAAGATATGCACCATTGGTTCTCCGCGGGGAAAGGCTTTATTCCCAGGGCACATGTAGGAGGGACTGGAGACTGTTTTTACTTGTCACAGCTGGAGGGCAGGTCATCTAGGGGGTAGAGGCAGGGATGTCATTAAATATCCTACAACACACAGGACGGTATCCTCCAGGACTTAGCCAGTGAGAGAGCCAAGGTTGAGAAAACCCAGTGGAGACTGAAATTATGCAATTCCCAGAATGTTCAAGGCTACATCTGTGCCATTCCCTTCTGAGGACTATTTTCCCCAACATTCACTTGTACTTCTATTCTGGTCACTCCCTGTGAGTTACACGGAATCATCGAGAACTTCTTCTCTTTCAGTTCTGCTTGCAGGACGCACCCATCGAGCCCACAGCCCTAGGATCCCATCCTATACCATCGTCTTCACAGTGATCAACATTCTATGCAGAGCAGAGTGAGCTTTTATCTGCACTAATGCTGAAGGAAACCTTTACCTTTTTATCTTTTCTGTTAGGACATCGAGTTTTCTTTTTCTTTAGATTAATTAAGTTTATTGGTACATGTTAGGTATGTACACACAATGATCACACTCACTGTAGGGAATGTGTACCTGTACATGATCCATAACTTGATCCCTTTTGCTTTTCCCTTCCCCTACCCTTCCTTCAACCCCGTCTATCCCCCTCCCCCCTTTTTTTTCCTCCAATCAGATTTAGGGCATCGAGTTTTCAATTCAAAGAAGGAAATTACTTTGAAGTTTATTTCCATGATTATTATTGTGATACTGGGGATTGAACCCAGGACCTCTGTGTTGAACTGTATTCCCAGACCTCTTTTAATTAGTTTTTTTTTTTTCTTAAATTTTGAGACAGGGTCTCGCTAAGTCACTAAGTAGCCCAGACTGGGCTTGAACTTGAAATCCTCCTGCCTCAGCCTGTCAGAGTGCTGTGATTACAGGCAAAAGAAGACATTTAAATAGAGTTTATTTTTAGACCCTCAGTATGTGCCTTATGACATCACAAAACAATACCCACTACTTCCAACTCTGACTGGGGCATCCCAAAGGTTCTGAGAGTTACTAGGCAATACAGACTGTAACAAACTCTTACCAAGTACTTAAGCCTCAACTTCCAATCCAGTAACTATTGGGCAAATCCAGTAACTACTGGACGAAATGCCTTTATATTTCCCTGCAGAGGAAGGTTGCACAATGTACATAATTATTTTATGAAGGTATTTGAGAAGACAAGGATTGGAATAAAATGGTAAAAGCTGACATAGATATTACAGCGGTCACAGTTACTTCCAATACCAGAACACTCACTTCCGCTCATCTGACCCTTAATACACGTGACCTCTAATTTTCTCATTACTCTCACCAAATAGACATTACACCCTCTACCCAAAGGGAAAATAAGGGTCCAAGAAGCTACGTCATTTTCAAAAGTCACAAAGCTACAAAGAGGCAGGAGTCTCACTGCACAGCAGAAAGACTGGGGCACTGGTGTCCCCACTCACTAGGGATCTGCTTCCATCCCCCGACTGTTTTGCTACTTAGAAGCACCATGCATTTTGCTTGCTGTCTGTTTTGGTAAACATTCTCTGAAGCAGGGATGCTAGGTCACACAAAGGAGTGTTTGCTCAGTTTCTCACGGGGTGGCTACAGGGAAAGACTTCATTCCATGTGAACTAGCAAGTTATCATTCAACATGCATTTGGGAGAAGACATAAGTTTCAAAGCTCAGAGCCATATGGAAGCATGAATCTTAGCTCCAATCCTCACACATCAAGGCAGGGGTTTTCTCTTCCTCCTTTATTTCCTCCCATGTAGACCTCACTCTGTGTGTCACAGACATTTCTGCAGGAGCTGAGGACACGGAGCTCAGTAATCACCTCTAAGACAAGTCTCACTTTGTCCTGCTTTCTGTCTTTCCCCGCGGTGATGGCCCTCTGCTCCGTGACCTTCCTGTCATTCTCCCAGGCTGAATCTTTGTTCCTGGTTTCCTGTGCACACCAAATGATCTTTCTTCCTGCTCCTTTCATCCTCTGCGGTGCTGAAGACACGAATCCAGAGCTCCCCCGGTCTGTCTATCTCTGAGCATTTCTCCATGGGTTTTAAAGCACTAGTCTTCCCCTATGATGTTTCTTTGTAACATTTCAGCATCATTTATAGCTGAGTTCACAGCCTTTCGGCTGTGATAAAAGTGGATGAGGTACGAAAATGAAAAAAAAAAAAGATAAGAACTATTTGGTTCACAGGAATAATAATGAGGAAGAGAGAGAAAAAGAGGTCCTAAGAGGAAGAAGGCTAAGCTTCCTAAGTTAATATGAGAGCCTGCTTTTAGGTTCTAGTTCTCAGTGACAAAACAAGATGAAAAAATTACCTACCTACCCCACAGGCCTACTCTCCATTTTTCCCCTTTCAGGCCAGAGAAAAATGAAGTGGGTAAACCAAGCCCTACAGAAAGTCCACCCAAATCATCCAGCAAGATCCTATTATGTGTGTACGAGGGGGAAGGAGAGAAGGGCTAAGAGATGATATGCGTGCTTCAGTTATCCAAATCTCGAAGGGCGGTATATCTTAAACTACAGTCCCTGGAGCAGTTGTATCAGAATCCTAAGGGGAGCTCTTTAAAAATCTAGGTTCTGGGCTTTCACCCCAGACCCGAAAAATCAGAATTTGTTGAGCTAGATCCACAAGTCTGCTCTTAACTGACTCTCCAAGTGAGACGTTCAGATGCTCGTTGAAGCAGGAGGATTCTCCGCTGAGGGTGAAGCAGATGCACACTAAACCACCCCAAGTGTCAGGGTTCGTGCCAGCCCCCTGCCCCCACCACACGCCACCAGCCCTCCCCTTTGCCTTCCCTCCCATCCGAAGGGAGACCCCTAGGAAAGCGTACCTGGTCTGATGGGGCTCTGCATACAGTTTGGAGATGGGATGCCGGGGTGAAGGGGTGCCGAGGCCCGGCTGCTGAGGTCCATGACCGAGGGGGCAGCTGAGGCGGCGGGCTGCAGGCCGGGTGGGTGCGGGCTGTGCTCATGCTGTGACGGGCTGGGGGGGATGCCGTTCTCTGACAGGAACTCCTCCAGGTCCATGTACTCCAGCTGGAAAGTATCCCCGTCATAGGGAAGGGTTTTGTCCCATAAGGTGGGCCCCAAGAACGCCGACTGGGGGACCGTCGGGCTGTTACTCTCATCATCCAGCTTCTTCTCCTTGTCTTTATCTTTGCTAAATGCTGCAGAAGAAGGGAAACGTGGATTAAGAAAGAAGAAAGAAAGAAAGAAAGAAAGAAAGGAAGGAAGGAAGGAAAAGAAAGGGAGAGAGAGAGAAAAAAAGTAGAGAAAAGGAGTTGCTCTTTTATGACCCGGCCTCTATTACAAAGCAACTTCTCATAGACACCAGGGTTCTCTGGCTGCTGTCTTGTGCGGATCTGGAGTAAAAAGTTCAGGCAGGACATGGAGCTACGCCTGGTTTTCAACATCTTCCTATTTATTTTGGAAAGGAAGCACCAGTCCATGGGACAGAGCTACAGGCTGATCTAGGATAAAAACAAGAGAACAGTCTCCGGGGCATGATTTGAGGAGGTAGTTCAAACCCTCAGTGGGAAAAGATCACCTCCGATCACATACAACTGCCATGACTTTTAGAAAAACCTCCAGTCACCAGGCTTGGTTTCTCTTCTGGAAGAGAAGAGAAACAGTACGAGTGCGCGATCACTCAGATTCATAAAAGCAGAGAGATAGACGGTGCTTTCAATCTGGGGAGAGCAAGGTCTCTCCATCCTTCTTAAACACCAGGTATTGAGTACCTAAAATATGCCTGGTTCCACGCATGATCTCAAAAGTATCACAACAAGCAATTATCTCCATTCCTAAGGAATACACAGAGGGTCTGAGGAAGCAGAGAAAAAAACTGAGAATTATCTGAGAGCCATTAGGGCACACAGTCTGTTTTACAAAAGCAGTAAATAAACAGAAAGTGTTTTCTCCTTTCTCCTCCCCAAACACCTAAGTATTGGCCAATTCACAAAAAGTCCACAGCTACGCAGCCCGTCCAAGGCAGGGCTACAGGAAAAGGTGACTTACTCCACACACCTATGAAGGAAGTACGCAGCTATGTCCTACCTGAAAACAGCGCTCACCAGATTAGGTCTTTACCAGGAGCTCTGGGTTTTGCCAATTCTAGTACTCAGGCGTGGGTGGAATCTGGGATTAAGGAATTTGCTTCTGAGTTTTTTTTCCTCAGAAGAACAGCCTCCACTGCAATCCATTCTACCCCTCTACAGTTTCATCTGAGAATCTGACTTAAAACACCCACTGACGCAAAGCCTGCCGGCAGCCCCTTCCTCCCAAGTGCTATTCCTGCGGGTGGAGTGGGGGGATTAAAATCTGCAGAACGCAACCAAAACACCCTAACTCCTGCAGTGCAACAGGTTGTCCACTTCTAGGAAAGAAGGGGAATACTCCCGAGCTCCCCGTAGCCAAGTAATCTCTCCAGAGCCGTGTGATGCGCAACCATCTCTGTGACACCAAAATCACTTCTGCCCAAACGACAAACCCGTGCACGCGGGGTGCGGCTCCGCTTCCCGCTCTTCCCACGCACCCCTCCTCTCCCGCCACAGCCCAGGTTACCGAGGGAAGGAAGAAGGTCTGGGACTTACCGAGAAAGGGCTGGAGCCGGAGGAGGCTCCTGCGCGCGTACACGTGAGCCTGCTCGCTCGCTCTCCCCTCCCACCGGGGACAGCGCAGGGGAAGTGTCGGCGGGCGCCGCCGGGGCGTGCGCGTCTCCCTCGCGGGGACCCCTCCCCCGGCCGGGCCTCGGTGACCCTGCACGGCGGGACCCGCGCGTGCGGCTCACACCCGTGAACCCCCAGTGCGACGCAAGACACAAGCAGCCCCCCAGCCCCAACGCGGTCAGTCCCGCTCCCTCCGGACCCCCGCCCCAACCCGGGCCCCCGGATCTCTCCTCCCAGCCCGGGCCGCTCCGCCCTCTCGCGGGCGCTGCGCCCCGTCCTCGGGAAGGAACCCTGACCCGCCGGCTTTACCTGCCACCTGCGCCGCGCGGGCGCGGATCGGGAGCCCGGGCCGGGTCCCGGCGCTATTTTAAATGCTGATCGGGAGGGTCGCCCCCTTTTTATCGAGGAGGAGGGGGTACAGGTGAGCACCCCGATCTCGGCGGCGCGGCCGGGGCGCGGAGGGCGCACGCTGCGGCCGGCGGCGGGGCGCGGCGCGGGGACCCGGGAGCGCGGCGGGCTCACCGTCGTCGTGGTGGAGGGGGAGCTTCAGCGGGTTCTCCAGCAGAGACCTGAGCACGCCGTAGGGAGGCGGGATAAACGTGGGGTTCAGGGGGAGCTGTCGGGACATTTTCTCCATCGCGATGCACTCAATGTTTTTTCTTTTTCTTTCTTTTTTTTTTTTTTTTAAAGAAAGCTAATCGGTCCCAGAAATGTTGCAGAGCTCGTCCTCCGTCCTTTGGCAAAAGTACTCGCTTTCCAGCGGTGCAGACCAGGGAAGAAAAAAAAAATTTTTTTTTACTTTTATCTTTCTAAATACATCTGCATACAAAATATTAAAAAACCGAAAGCAACTTTCGGGTTCTCAGCGCACACGGTCCCAGGAGAGCGCGCGAAGAGCCCGCGGGGTCCTGGGCAACCTCAGGATGCTGTCACCTGCCTCGAACCCCTCGTCTCGCAAAATGTTCAAAACCGAAAAAAAAAAAAAA